AGAAGTATTTAAAATTAAAAAATATAGCATAGGGTACAGAAAAACAGAGGCAAGATTAAATGAACTAAATAACTGCCCCAGATTTCAGAAGTTGAGAAGTTGTGGAATTCACAACTGGAATTAGTGGTCTAAGGAGTTACTATGTCTTTATTGGAGAACAGATTATCTCAATGTTTGAACAAGAGTAGAAATAATGAGGCAAAGCTAATATGGGATGATGATCCCTGCTTCTGAGAAGGGTAGATATCAACATGAAACGCTTTGAAGACTAACTTTTTTCAATATGGCTTTTCCTCTTCACTCGCAAATTATTTTTGCCATTGCAATTTCCAAACCATTCCATGGAAAACTGTACTGCTTTTGCTAAAACTTTTACATTTTCTCTCCTGTCTCCAAGGGAATGTTACCTCATTACATTGACTGTGCCCAGACTCTGGTTTCAAATTGAATGAGGTAAGAAAATTATGATCACATGTAACGGAGCCCTTCACCCTCCTTTGTTTCAAAATAACTGTACCTGGTGGGTCAAACTTCCTTGTCATATTTATCCCCGTTGTTAATCCCTTTAATGACACACTCAAAATTACAAACAAAGGAATGTTTGGATTTCTATGAAAAGAACAAGACTCTCATTATTACCCAAATTGGTTCTACGGTATATACATATACACATATAATATATAAAAAATCAGAGCCCTTCATTTCTAACATTCAAAGGAATTATCAATGTCATTAATCTGATGTGGACCTCCAAGAGTTTCGGACATGCCTCAGAACTGGCAAATGATAACAGCCAACAAGTTCAGGCATGAACTACTTTTGCAGCAAACCTCAGGAAGATTAATACATTATTATTATTATTATTATTATTACTACACAATACCTCCTGTAAAAGAATACATAAAACATATTATTCTTATGAGAGTACAAAACAACTTATGAATGTACAAGACAATACATAATGATATGTTACATACTCATCACACAATAGTGCTCATATTTCCACACTTGTAAGAAGCTTAACCCATTGCAACATTGTTGGCATCGCTTACCACAGTTGATCACTGATGCAAACTATGAGATCACACCTGGTGTGATCAGGAGCCCCATTCTGGCAGGACAGTTTCTGGGTAGAAGACAACAGTAGGTTGAGAAGGTGCATGAATAGATATTCCCTGGGCTCCCCTTTCAGTTAGCTGAGCTTTTCATTTCTGCTTAGCTTGTCCAGTGCCCATCCAAGCAGTCAGCTTCCAGAGGTCACAACGTTCAGTAACGTCTGTCAGTCATCAGCTTTAATGTCCATGCATACTTCATGGGAAGATCTTCTTGTAACAGAGGTTTGGAATCTAGGAGATCGTGACCCAGTGGTCAGTTCATCAGACAGATGTTTTGGGGTATATAATGGTAATCCAGACAATGAGCACGGCATTGCTGCCTTAGATAAGAACATAAGAAATAGGAGCAGGAATAGGCCACCTGGCGCATCCAGCCTGCTCTGCCAATCAATGAGATATGGCTGATTTTTTCGTGAACTCAGCTGCACTTACCAACCTGCTCACCATAAACGTCAATTCCTTTACTGTTCAAAGCTCCATCTATTTATCTATCTATCCTTGCCTTAATTCATTCAATGAGGTAGCCTTAACTGCTTTACTGGGCAGGGAATTCCACAGGTTCACAACACTTTGGTTCAAGATATTCCTCCTCAACCCAGTCCTAAATCTACTCCGTTATTTTGAGGCTAAATCCCCTAGTTCTAGTTTCACCCACTAATGAGAAAAAAACTCTCTGCTTCTATTCTCATCTATTCCCTTCATAAATTTTTTAATCCCCCCACCCCCAAGACATTCTTCTAAATGATTATATGCTGCCACCAACTCTAAATACAATGAATATTATTTTTTCCAAAACTCCCTCATTCCAGTTAAAGAAACCTGGGTGAAAAGATGAACTCTACAAGAGACGGCCGAAGATTGTAATTAGCAGGCAAAATTATTCAGGATAAACCTAGCAATATTTAGAGGATGCCAATCTTGTATTTTTTAAAAACTACCTGGATTTTAGGAAGAGGAGAAACAGCAGTGAAGCAGCAGCACACAGTCTGCAGCTGGAAAAGTACTCAGGAAATTCTACGCTCAGAATGTACATGCAACAATCAACATTTTAAGCTGACAGTACCTCAATATTGTCTCGATCGACAAGAACATTTGTCTTTTGTTTTGCTGAGATTATATGTTGAAACGTGATAGGAGCTTGTTAATACAGACAACTCTTGTCCCACAGTAGAAAGTGCACATCGAGGCAGAACGTATTGAAGATGAGTTGATAGCTTCTAACGAATTACACTTACAGGTCATACTTATTTTGTTTTTGATTTCTGCATGAAAATTTCGTGTAAACTTCTTGAAAGAAACATTCAGATTTACTTCCAGCAGTTCTTAAAAATTTTCTCGTGCGTTGTGGGCATCACTGGCTGGCATTAACCAGCATTTATTGTCTGTCCCTAGTTGCCCTTGAGAAGCTGCCTTCTTGAACCCCTGCAGTCCATGTACACGCATTACGCTGTTGGAGAGACAATTCCAGGATTTTGACCCAGCATCAGTGAAGAAAAGGTGACATTTTTCCAAGTTAGGATGATGAGTGGCTTGGAGGGGAATGTGCAGGTGGTGATGTTCCCACATATCTGCTGTCCTTCTAGGTAGTCGTGGGTTTGGAAGGTGATGTATAAAGATCTTTGGCAAATTTCTGCAGTACATCATGTAGGTAGTACACACTGCTGCTATTGAGCATTGGTGGAGGAGAGAGTGGTTGTTTGGATGCAGTGCCAATCAAATGGGCTGCTTTGTCCTGGATGGTGTCAAGCTTCTTGATTGTTGTTGAGGCTGCACTCATCCAGGCAAGTGCACAGTGCTCCATCACACTCCTGACTTGTGCCTTGTAGACGCTGGTCAGACTTTGAGGAGTCAGGAAGCAAGAGTTACTTGCCACACTATTCCTAGCCTCTAGCCTGGTCTTATAGCTACAGTGTTTATGTGCAAGTCCACTTGAGTCTCTGATCAATGGTAACCCTCAGGATGCTGTTAGCAGGGGATTCAGAGTTGGTAAAAACATTGAACGTCAAGGGAAGGTGGTTAGATGGTCCCTTATTGCAAATGGTCATTGCCTAGCATTTGTGTAGTGCAAATGTCATTGTCACTTGTCAGCACAAGCCTAGAGATTGTCCAGGTCTTGTTGTATTTGAATATAGTATCTGAGAAATCACTAATGGTGCTGAACATTGTACAACCATCAGCAAACATCCCCACTTCTGACTTTGTGATGGGGGTAAAGTCACTGATGAAGTAGCTGAAGAAGTTTGGTCTTAGGAAACACTATCCTAAGGAACTCCTGAAGAGATATCCTAAAGCTTTGCCTTGTGTGAAGACTTTTTATCCTCCCCAAGACATATTGCTGCTGCTTTCTCTAAGAATGAGGATGTCCCTTGATATTAAGGAATTAACAGCATTATATAAGTTCTGCAGTGGGATTGCCACAAATTGGAATTAGAATATGGAACAGGCCTGCGTTTTGCTTAACTGAAAAACAATTTACAAAGATGTCAATCTAATTATCTCACTGATGCTTAATTGAGTGACAAATAGACATAGACCTGTTTGTATTTGTATTAGAATCACAGTAGTGTACTACACAAAATGTGGCCATTCAGCCTACTCCGTCTGTGCTCGCTCTTGCAAACAGCTACTCAAGTAGACCCCAGATCTCACTCTTTTTCAGGGTCCTGAAATTCTCTTTCCTTTTCAAGTTATTATGCAATCCCCTTGTGAAAGTTAGAATCTGCGTGAGGGTGTACATTCCAAGTAATCATAATTCAGTCCTGAAGTCTCATCAGCTCTGTTTGCTGCTTTATCAATTGCCTTAAATTAAAGCTGCTTGGTTAGCAACCTTCCTGTCAGTTCAAATAGTTTCTCCTGATTTACACTACATTTGCTGTTATTTAACAAAGAAAGCTACCTGGAGGTGAAACATCTCTTGCCAAGCTCAACATACTACACACTTAAGGTAAATTAATCTTCCTACAAATAGCAAGACAATCTTTTTTGTACACCACAATGTGACTGACTTCCTTTTCTCCATCTCATGAAGTAATATATCAATAACATCAAAGATGGAGGAAAAAAAAAATTGAAAAGGAAAATTCAAAACCTCATTTGTTATAAACAGCAATACGTTTCCTGCTAGGATAACAATCTAATACCTGGGCTCAGGTGGTCAACAGCTTTGCTGTTGTGGTTGACAATATAATATGCTCTGCCTTCCCCTACAAAGTGGATTGGATTACAATCTTGAATCAAGGAGAGCTATTACATGTACCTACAGCACTGACACACGCGCACACAACACCAATTAACAGGAGTGAATCTGATCCGCAGCACCCACATGGAAAAGATTCTCAGTGAGTTGAAATGCCACTTTACATGCCAGATGGCACATTAACACTGCACTTCAAAAATAAAGATGAGAATTAGCTACCATTAAATGCAAAAAAGCTACAAAATATATTGAGTCCAAAACATGTTAACTTTACTGTCCTTTTAGACATACTGATTAAATGTCTGATAGAAATTCTTTCAGAGACAGTTATAAGACAGAGTAGATAATTCAAATGAGAATATCATTAAAGAACAACGCATTACAGTTGTAGGTCAGCTGGCTTCGTTGGTAGAGCTCCTGCTTCTGAATTTTAAGAAGATTGGTGATTCAAAAGATTTCTTTATGAAGCATTCTTAATGGATGAGTACAATGTACTACAGCGAGAGCACAAGCTTAATTTTAATCAAAAAAAATGTTAAATCCTGCAGCTACATTTAGTGAACATTTTTCCAACAGTTAGTCAGCCAATCACAATGGCAATCTTAAAACAGTGGACAAACATAAGTGTATGCTTTAGAAAATGCTGCAATACATAAAAAAGGAATTGAATAATACTGCTCAATGCTTACCAGTTCTTGAGGTGCAAAGTTGGCAGAGTCAGAATCTACTGACCAGTAACAGTAATCAAACATGAACTCGATCTTCTGCTCCCTTGCATTCCCAGAGCTATCAAATCGGGAATCCAGCTAATATGGGATTCAGAAAACATAAGCAAATTTAAACATGATTTCCCAACTTCTAAACATGCATTTTAAATTCTATGCATTTGTCTTTTGAGGGGTTTGGTCAATTATACTTTCTTTTAAAACAACTATTAGATGTTTGTTATTTGTCAATTAGTTATAGAACATTGAACTGTACAACACAGAAACGGGCCCTTCGGCCTACAATATTGTGCCAAACATGTCGCAAAATTAAACTAATCCCTTCTGCCTGCCCTTGGTCCACATCCCTCCATTACCAGCATATTCATGTGCTTATCTAAAAGTCCCTTAAACGCCCCTATCGTATCTGCCTTCACCACCACCCCTGGCAGCGCATTCCAGACTTCTACCATTCTTGTAAAAATAAAAACTTCCCCCTCATATCTCTTTGAACTTTGCCCTCTCACCTTAAATGCATGCCCCTAGTATTAGACATTTCAACTCTGGGAGAAAAGATTCTGACCATCAACCCTATCTATCCATCTCATAATCTTATAGACTTCTACCAAGTCTTCCGTTAGTATCCGCCGCTCCAAAGAAAACAAGCCGAGTTTTTCTAACACCTCTTCCATCTCTAACACCTCTCTCCCCTTCCTGGACCATCTCTAACACCTCTCTCCCCTTCCTGGACCTCTCTGTCTCCATCTCGGGCAACCACCTAGAAACTGATATTCATTTCAAGCCCACCGACTCCCACAGCTACCTAGAATACTCCTCCTCCCACCCACCTTCCTGCAAAAATGCTATCCCCTATTCCCAATTCCTTCGCCTCCGCCGCATCTGCTCCCAGGATGAGACATTCCACTCCCGTACATCTCAGTTGTCCTTGTTTTTCAAGGACCGTAACTTCCCCTCCTCGGTGGTCGAGAATGCCCTCAACCGTGTCTCCCACATCTCCCGCACCTCATCCCTCACACCCCGTCCACGCAATAAGAACCAAAAAAGAATCCCCCC